TAAAATATAACAAAATAACTATCATAATAAAACAATAATAATTTTATAAAGTATAATAATAATAATAAAGCTAACAATACAATATTTAAATATATATATATACTAATTGTATAAAGTATAACAAAAACAATAAAATATGATTTTTATTAAGTATATTATTAATAACTATAACAGTAGTAATCATCATTTAATAATAATAATACATTTGTGTCCAAAGCTTTAATTATTTTCTGTGGTTTTAGAATTTTTTAAGACAACTACAAAAAATATTGTTAAATCTGTTGAAATAAAAAAATAAAACGTTGTATAGCACATGTATGACTTTGTTTTTTTTCCCAGATTTTTAATACAAATTATACATTTAATCAAGAAAAAAAAAGTTTCTACATACAACCTGATATTTATTTGAAGTAGCTGTGCTGTTTACCGTAGAAGAAAATGTCATGTTTGTTTTCTGATGAAGAATCACGGTAAAATGTTGTCAGATGCAGCAGCTTCATATCTCAAATTTCCCAGTGTTTTAGAGGTTTTTCTGCTGTCATGTGTTCGTGTAAATCACTTGTCCATCTCTCTCTGGCAGTATTGAAGGAGAGTATGTTCCTGTGGAGGGAGACGAGGTCACATACAAGGTCTGTCCAGTCCCGCCCAAGAACGTGAAGGTCCAGGCCGTGGAGGTGATCATCACGCACCTCAAACCAGGAACCAAACACGAGACCTGGTCGGGCCAGATCATCAGCTCCTAGGATCCAGTCGGCGCAGGACTGCAGGGAGGGAGGAGGGTGGGTTTTCCCAGAAGAGAGAGCAAAGCATCATGGGAAGGCTTTTGAAAGTAGAAGGGTGCAGAGAATGTTGAGTTCAGCAGAACGAGCTGCGTTACGGGAACATTAGACCGCAAACAGACACTACGCAAGTATTTATTTCACACGTCCATGTGGTTCGAAAAGTCTCCAAATATACGTCGCATTCGCAACAGAGGTTTGCGTAGAGCTTGTTTCCGGTTAAATGAGTCGTCTGTAGGTGTGAGAAACTGTGAAATGATATTTGAACATCCTCAAACTGGACTGTGAAAGAATCAAACGCATCGATTCGGAGGCACACGCTACACTTGTGGCTGTTTTTGGCTCTTATATTTATTTTTCTTTATTTATGCATTAATTTTGTAATGTTAAATTGAGGGTAATAGGGTAATAGGGTGGATCTCACAAAAACCTGTCCAGAACATATCATATTCACAGTTATATTCACCCCAAAATCAAAATGGAAAAATTAAGCAATTATGTCCTGCATAAAGATTTTCAGGACAATTAAACACATTTACCCCCAAATTCATAACACTGCAGAAAAATATCTTATTTAAATTGTAAAACATTAAATATCATAATTGTATTACTTGTACCGACTGTACTGGTATTTTATTCATGCATTTTACAGATTTTAATTAAAAAATCTTGAGAATCATTACTGAGAATAAAAAATAATGTCTAAAAATGTTGATAAACAACAGTACAGCATTCAATGTTTTATTTAAAGCAATGAGAATTTTAGGGGGTAGATGCTTTATTCTCATAAAAGTCACAATGCAAAAAAAAAAAACTCGTAATGGTCCTAAAGTTAACCTTCATTTTCATTATGCAAAATATTATTCATTTGATTTCAGGGTGAAGTATGAATCAGATGTGATCTTGGCAGGTTTGTAGATGTTGGAGAGGAAATAAGACTGCTAGGCTCTGGTTCTAACTATCAGCAGTATACACTCCTGGTGTGTCGGTCAGGACACAAAGAATGAGGAGACTGGAGCTTCTTTCCAAAGTGTATTGAATATTAATAAATCCAGGTGCATTAACAAACCGTGCATTAATTCCCAAATAACATCAGAAAGGCAGTAATACTGGTTAATCCTTCCACATTATCAAAACTTGACTGATTACAGACCGATTACTATGTAAACTGTAACATCTAACTCTGTATTTCGCAGAAATTACATAGCATATCTTGTTTATCTATCGAACGATCACACGTGAATCGTTACATGTCCGTACATGCCAGTGTAAACTACAAAGTTCAAACACATTTAACAACATATGGAAATTGAAGAAACTTACTTTATGGTCATGAACTAACACTTTGAAACACCAAACGCCAACAAACATCCAAATAATAGGCAGGAAAACTAAGTGCGCAGCTGCCGTTCTCTCAGTAATAACACAATGAGGCAACAGGCAGAAAACTTGTACAATAATGCCTCCTACTGGATGCACCTGGAAATGCGCTCAACAAACTATCAAATAGGAGTCCCTCAATAAAAAAACTTCCTTTCTCCAGGAGCCTTTTATACAGTAGAGTTTCATCTATTGGGCTCGGTTATATATGCTGGAACTGAAGCATCATGGACTAATATTGCACTTGAAACTCGAAACCCCAAATATAAACTGCCAAACTGACTTCATCTCCCAGAACTCTTTCTCTGGAGCTTTTCAGGGTAAAAAGCAGCATTTTGTAGACAGCTGAAGAATAACAGTCGGCTAGCAAAACCATTTAAACAGCAGTAGCGACTTTAAAGATCTTGTGTTGTTTTTACTGTATGTGACGTTGATTATGTGATCAGAGATCCAGTCACGTGCAGAACTGTTGCGTTGTTTGTTTGGTCACATGATCGGTAGCATGTTCTTCAGTTTGTTTAGTGATTCGATCGTCAGATTTCTATGCTTCTGAACCCTCATTTGGGTTTTAACTGATGTTTGTTTTTAAACGTCATTTTTATTTTCAGCACTTTTTAGAGCTCAGATCACTGTGGTCAACATCATTACCATGTGAACTTTGCAGGACTAATAAAATTCATTTATGATTTACACGTTTGTAGGCTATCTTACTGCAAAGCACGTTATTAATCATAAAAGTAGGCTAATGTTTGCATGGCAATATTGCATTAGTTATAACACCTGCACATACACAAAATACACCTTAAGCATCCGTAAACAGATCAGACTCTATAACAATTCATGAAAAAAAACTTGTATTTAAAATAAACAGACATATTCATGATTCATCACAAGGCATAATAGCATTTGCATTTTACACTGATTGTTTTCTTTCAGATTTTGAACCATGAAAATAGCATTACTGTTTCAGTTTTTAAGTGACGTGATACAACTTTACTTTCTTTTTAAGTGTAACAGAAAACAATACAGATAGAGATAATCAATAAATGAGTTTGTTTAGAATTAAGGACACATAATTTCTTTAATCCGGCACCGTTTACATCATTAGTGTAATTTTTTGATATGAATCAATTCAAGTTAAAGTGCATTTATGCCATCAGATATGAAGCAACATTCATAGCATGAGATCAATCGGACTATGAATTCTGAATTAGAAATACTTGATGTCCGGTTAAAAAAACGTCTTACAATGCCCTGGAAATCTATGGGATCAGCACCATGTTTTCAGGGATCAAGGGGAGTGTTTCAGCGATGACGCGGATTCTGTCTGGAATGATTAACATGTAAATATCACATCAATCAATTATTAATTAACTTGGCGTCAAATCTGACAAGATTTTATCGTTTCAGTCAATCTATATCCTCTCACTATACAAACATGTAGCTCCAGACCATTCATTAAATATCCAGAATTGTCATAATCTTGTAAATATCCAGAGTCCAGTCCGAGAGTACAGAAGGGGGATGAACAATCCACATTCAACTAAGCACAAACATCGCACATCTCAAATCACCTGCGACAGTAAATAAGATCAGAAAAGCATGACAAAACTTGAACTTAACATGGAACAGACCTATAGTCACGTTGCGATTGGTCAGAAACAGGGGTCACGTTCACACCGCGGATCCCATGTCACTCGATTGGGTCCATTTACACGAGTGACTAACGAATTCAACTCCTGAACATTTAATGCGGTGCCAGCAGCATTTGTATTAAATCTGATACAGTGAAATTAAACACTTAACTGTTTTGGACACCGACGGCTCATCTGACCCAGATAGCACACGTACGTCTGCAAGATGTCTGTTAAAGGTCTCTTGATCTGGAAAGCATCTGCTGTTTACAAACATCTGACAGACGTCTGTAAGATGTCAGGTTTACACACATTCTGAATCATAAACATCTTAAAGACTTCTAATAGATGTCTATTTGACACCTGATAGAAAACATCCTATAGACGTTTTGCAGATGAGCAAACACTCTAAAACATACATCTTGTAGATGTCAAATAGACGTCTCCGTGACGTAAGTGTGCTATCAGGGGAGGTGCTAGAAAACTATAGAAACAAATGTGTGTCTTCAGTAGGCTATTTCATCAAACAGGGCCGTAACCACTGCAGATCTGATTAAGAATCAGATATGGCCAAATTTGTCTCTTAGTTTCTGATATTCTTGATGCTGCTCAGCTGCACTCTATTGCTCTGTTTATGACACGTTTTATTTATTTATTTTTTTCTGCCTATAAAGGCGCTCATCAGTGTGAAATAATTGAGATGGCCAATCAAATAAAAGGAGGCAGGGTTTACCGTTCAAAGAAGCCGAGCAGGAATTCCAGCGCTACGCTTAAGTTTTAATGGTTGAAGAATGTGAGGTAAGATGTAGCTTATAGCTAAACATTTAATATCCGACAACTGTTGTACGAGCAGTTTTTGGCACATTAAGAGTGGATGTGCGAATATTTTAAAGTAAAACATTTAAAATGCATTATTTTTACCATAAATTGTACAACATTCCTATTATTCCACTAATTCCTTTGAAAAATTTAATTATTTTATTAATTTAACTAAATTAGCACCGTTACGTGATGGAGCACACTAGGTAAACAAACACAAACACCTCTTACTAATAACTGATAGCTAATGTTACTTTGGTTAAAAAAAGTTGGCTTCCATGTTTTAAGTTCACAGCTTTGAGATGTCAAACACTGCACTGTGTCAACAACCATCATCATTTCTGGAGTGAGTCCTGTGTCCTGTGCATCATTCAGAGGATTCATTGTATTTTACATACAGTTGTCACTCCGGAAATGTTGCAGTGTGAACGTGGCCACAGGAAAACAGCTTTTTTATAAAAAAAGAGGGTATCATTAGATTTAAAATTAACATTTGAAACGATTTAAATTTAAAAAACTATGAACACACTGATGAGGCTCCGTCAGTGATATTTACATACAGTCCCTTTAGTCTGCGGATCAGCAGTGGTTTGGTTCTGTCTCCATGTCTGATGGTTCTCAGGCTCAGTGCAGCAGACTGCATTACCCACAGTGACCAGCAGCGGGCGCAGTAGCACTGCACACAGGCAGTCTGGTGTATGTGCAGGTGCATGCAGACGCTTTCACGCCTCATTGGGTGGAGCGTTAAAGAACATCTCCCTGCAGAGCCGAACCGTGTCTTCAGGGGAGCAGACGGTGAAGCCGATGGTACGAGGGTCTTCGAAGATCTCGTAGTCATTTCCACCCTAAATCGTTAACAAATAATAAAAATAAATAGACATAAACACACATTAATATATATATATATATATATATATATATATATATATATACAGCCATTCGATTACGTACCAATGAAGTTTCATTGCCGAAAAAGTAGATTGCGTCCAATCCTTCCTGCTCCAAGACGTCCAGACAGAGGCGTTTGTCCCAGCCCTCTGGGAAGATGTCGAAACTGATCAAACCCCCTGCAGACAATGACAAAACCACTGATCTATAATAGAGAACTGGATTGCTCATGACGTCATGAAAGTGAAGCCGCAGCGCCGCCATATTGGTAATCCCTAGTGTGCGTAAATGTTCTATTGAATTAATAGGAAATTGTATGATTTTAACGAAAAAACATTGCCTAACAAGTCAGCATTTTTAAATCACATGTACATTCTTACAATGCAAACACCCTAGGCATGTGGTTATATTTTTAATGTCGGGAATTTCCCCTACTTATTAAAAAGCTACGTTCATTACAGAAGCGAACATCATGAACATGATACACATCAGACAGACACGACCTCAACATATATAACAAATGACAAAGTGCTCATTCTGAAATCTGAATAAAGATGGCGGATCGTACACTTCCGGTGGCTTCACTGCCTGTTGGCAGTTTAGAACGCGATGAGCAATCCAGTCATTATATATAGATCAGTGGACAAAACCCACTATTAAGAGGAAATTTAAGAAAAGATAGTCCGATTCATTTAGCATTGGTGTAACCTTGAGCATCAAAAGTTTATCAAGGATGCCTGCAGTGTTTTTCCAAGTTAATGGTTTGGAGATAATGTTCAGTAAAGGTGTAGTGAAAGATTTTAGCTGTTTGAAACTTCTACCAGCTCTCATCCCCATAAATCAACACATGCTGGCCAATCTGATGCCAGCAAACCTGAACATGTCAGTTTTCCAGAATTTTCAATCTGGTTTCCAACCGCATCACTCAATGGCTCAAATAGTATAATATAGTGAGAATGTAGAGGAAAAGAACAGAGCCTAAATTGAGCAAAAGTGTGCAATTAGGTGCAGATGCTGATATTTATATGGCAAAAAGTAAGATGAAATTCTGATGCTTGTACTGTAAATCAATGAGATCTTTATAACAGTATAGTACAGGGGTCGCCAACTGGCGAACTCCAGTCCAAATACGCCATGAGATGCGTCTATCCGGACCGCGAAGCCTTTTGACATAGTGAAATAATTAAATGCCAAACTCTATTTTCTAACAAAATCTAATTTATATCAAGCACATCAAGGTCAGCTCAGTAGCGTTTGGGTCCTACGGTGCCAAGGGTTGCTACTACAGTTAACTGTTGCTACAGTCAGACATGCAGTCATGTGCGCAGATAGTTGACAGGTCTTTAAAAAGTCTTAAATTTTGTTGTATCAAGGCCATAAAACATATTAAATGGTACAATAAAGTCTTGATTATGATTTAAGGAGGTCTTGGGGACGGTAAGACAAGAATTGCAATACGGCTTAATGTGATGATTAAATATCAAAAGGCTGTGATTTAATTGAATATGAATGCTGCATGTTTCAAAGTCTGCTGCTGGGCTGCTTTTTGTGCTTCCGTTACCGGGGAAACCGCTATATTTCTACCATTCCAAAAGCACCACCTGCTGGCAGAGAATGAATTAGCATTTTTAATAAGCCCATGTTTTTATGCAGCAAACAGTTGTAAATGTGAACTAGTGGATCGACCAGAAGATAATGCATTATAAAACTTTAAAAAATTAAGACAGTAATATATATATATATATGTTATTTAATTAATATAATAAATGATTGATAATAATTGTTTAAATTAATATAATTGATACTTTTGCTTAAAAAAATCAATTTTCTTAAAAAATGTTTTAAAGGCTGAAAAGTTAATCATTTTATAAATCCTTTTGTTTTTATGAAAACCTATATCTGAACTCTAAATCATGCTTTTTACAGTCACTTTAAAGGGGTCCTATTATGCTCTTTTACAATGTCTTGAATTTGTTTTGGGGGTGTACTAGAACATGCTCTCATGCTTGGTGGTTCGAAAAACGCATTATTTTTTACATAATTTACATTATGACAATACCTTTCTCCCCAGTCTGGCACAAACGGCTCGATTAGTTCTGGGTTTGATGAAGGCCCGCCTTCCGAAAAAAGAAATGTGATGTGATTGGTTAGCTGCGGATATTGCAAGACATAATAGAGTGGTAACGTTATTGTTTTTTTTTGTTTTTTTTGGCTAAATCACGTTTTAAGGAGGGTAAGCCACCTTCACAAGGAGGGTAAGCCATAGGCTTGCCGCGATAGACGGTGTTGACGGTGATACCGGTGTTAAGCCGCAACACCGGGAATCATCACAATTAAAAGAACCAAAGACTTAAACTACTTCAGTCTGTGTGCATTGAATTTATTTAATACACGAGTTTCACAATTTGAGTTGAATTACTGAAATAAATGAACTTTTCCACGACATTCTAATTTATTGAGATGCACCTGTATAATCAAGTAAAGTTAAGTTGCTTTAGTCCAGTAAGTGTTCATCTGGAAATATTACTAACAATATCTTACTATCAGTTATTCTTATATCTGCCTTATAAAAATCAGTAAAGAAAAACAGAAAAAAAGACACAGGAACCATAAGCTGAAGGTGGACATTGTACAATTACACTAAAGTCAAAACACAAAAAGTCAAAACTGTCAATCAGATGACAGAAGGCATGTAGTAGATAATGTGCGACAGGTTTTTCAGCAAAGTTTTGATTTAGAGGCCTTGGAAATGAGTGTATCACATATGATACAGTAGGTTTTTTAGGGTTAATCTGTCATTTAGTGTGTTCCTCCAAAATGAACCCATCCAGCGGTTTTAAAGCCGCAGCTCAGCAGTGAAACAGAGAGTTTAACGAGTTTACAAGCCCTGAGGCTCATTCTCACAGTAATTACCCTTTTTGTGTGTGAGATGGTCTGTCTTCAGAGACGTGAACTCCGTGACTGTTTGTCCTCAGAGAGATTGAGAAACTCTGCAGGACCGAAATCAGTCGTTAAAAATGAATTATCGTCCCACACACACCCTCAACTCACACAGACACTCATTAGTGTCCCTCCACTGGACTGCAGCAACATTCCAGCACTGACTCAACAGTTGCTCGAGCAACAGCCAATAAGAGGGCTTGATCACCTCACACCCCTGGCCCCTCCCCCTCTGACTGTCCATCACACAGAAAAAGAAAAACATAAGGCCGGTGTGTGAGAAACTGAGCTGAACTTTACAGGCAAAACTGCTGAAAATGGAGTCCAGACGTCAAAGCTAACGCATGACCGTGTGTGTGTGCGCACAGCAAACTCAAACAGGTTGTTGAGTAAACACTCGTTTACTCTCACGAGTCACGAGTGCATCCGTTAGCGCTCGCTTATCATCTTTAACACAGATAGCGTGCGTGCGTGTGTGTCTTTTGTGCTGTGCAGGTACAAACAGCTCTGTTTCAGCACGGCTCATTTGCTTCAGATCATCAGAGAGCTGGTGATGTCATTTCCTGCTCACCTCTGGTGAACCGCAGGCCTTTTCCAGCAAACTCCTTCTGCAGAGCCGCCACAAACTTCTCTCGTATCTTCTCTCTCTGCGGGACAGGAGAGTTTGGATTGAAGTTTTGGGTTGTTTTTAATGTGTGTTTAGGTTCATTAGTGCTTTAAATGAAAACAATCAATTCGTATGGACCTGTTCACACAGGAACACAGATCGTCTAATGACAACTGTCCAACTTGCTTTACTAAATAGACCTTAAATAGACCTTTCATTGGCAATTTGTTTGATTTTCTGTTTCATCGCTCTTGATATAAACAGACCATTTAATGAAACCCGTTTTGGGTTTTGTGTGAACAAATCCTCAACTTTTAGCCAATGGACCCTTTTCACAAGACTGTGATGATTCATTTAATGGTCATCAGCATCGTAAATCCTAGAAAGTTTTTTACATTTTGAGTTTTAAAAAAAATGTATGTACATTTATAACACTATACTTTGTATTATATCTACTTTGCATCAAATTAAGTGCCCCTATTATGGGTAATGAAAGGTTCATATTTTGGTTTTGGGAGTCCCCAACAACAGGTTGACATGCATGCAAGGTCAAAAAAATAACTTTCATTGTCTTATAATATGCATTTATTTTTACCTTAATTGCTCAACTACTCCCAAACGATTCGCTCAATGATTCATTTTTCCAAACCCCTCCTTTGCGTTACGCTAATCTGCGGTGATTGGTCCTATTGGTCTCATTTTCATTTCATCTGGCCTGTAATGCCTGATAAAGCATCGTTTGTGAGAGCAGTGCTGCTTTGTGTACAGCGTTACCAGGGAAACCGCTATTTTTACCGCTCCAAAAGCAGCACCTAGTGGCAAAGAATGAATTTGCATTCTCATTCACACCAACGGGAAAAGACCAACAAGTGGGCGGGCAATATGCTAATGTATCATGTTGAAGTCAACATGAAACGGCTTGGGATTCGTTTTAAAAACAACTCATGTAACGCCCCTTACCATAATCGCGAGCTTCATCTTTCAAAATAAATGTAAAGACAGAGCCCGAAAGGGGAACAGAGTCGCGTGACAGACACAGTGATGAAGCTGGTATGTGTTTGCAGTACACAAGCCACGGTTAAGACAGCTGACTCCACTGTGATGTGACCCTGTCTCTCTCTCTCTCTCACACACACACACACACACGCGCGCACACACACGATGCTCAAAACTCCGCATTTGAACAGTCAATAGCAAATACTTAAACTAATAACAAAACAGTAGCTGATTCAGAAGCGCCAGATTGTCATAGCAAAGTCAGAATTACCTCCTCTCCTAGGTTCACGAAACGGTCGTCCATAAAATGCATTGCTGTTCTGTTGTAAGTGATCCAAATAAAGTGCTTTTGCTTTCGCACTGAAACACACAGTGTCTCCCTGACATGGCTGCTTCAACCCTAACTGCGGTTACTGAAACCACGCCTTCTTTCTTTGCGTGCACATTTGGGCTGCATTATTCTAATATTTCCACATAGTGAGGTAGATATGTGGGGGCGTGTTAGAACGAGCCGTTTTAGGGGGGCGTGGCAGAGTCTTAACTTTGATAAAGAATATCTCTTTGGTTTTGAGACTTTAGGCTTTGCAACTTCAGGGATCTTATCTATGCACAATCAGCTTGTAACACTCCAAAGAGAAAGGAAAACTTGAAATCGCATCATATGATCCCTTTAAGACTTTGCAGGATGTTTTCATTCACTTAGAGCTGTGTTACACACTGCATGAAAGGTCATTTTCAAAAATCCATAATAGGGGCACTTTAACGCTAATGTGAGGGTGTTTCTAATGTAGCCTCTATGGGAGGGACGGTAAATTTGACATCGTTCTCTCTTCTGACTGCTGAGCACTTATCAGTCTCTCTCAATTTTTTCTCTTCGTTTGAAAGTCGTGAAAACACTATCGTGGAGTTTTTCTTTTGTTTTTGAGCAAATGGAAATGCAAAAAATATATTTGTGGTACTCTTCCATTCACTGCTCTTGAACTTGAAGTTATGACGACTTCTGCTGCTGAGAAACCCAGAAATGTGAAAAAGGCCCATTCTGGAAAAATAACAGTGCTTGTAAACTGAGAATACCTTGTCGATTTCAGAGAACTCGATCCGCTCTTCTAGCGTGCAGCTGCGTCCGATGGGTGAGATGTTGATCATGCCGTTACGAAACTCAATGAACGTCCCTCTGAGAGAGAGAGATTTGGTTTAAGTTATTAAATGTGGTTTGCTGAATTGTAATGACATTACAGGTGACCAGCTCTGGAGTGTGCGTGTTTGTTACCGTTTCTTGGGTAGTTTGATGAGCCCCATGTAGCTGAGACAGAAGTTGATGAGGTCCTGCAGTAACTCCTCACCCAGATGATTCTGAATGGCCTGAGAAACAGATTGAAAAAATTAAAGACACTTTAGAGACTTTCAATGAAAGTTCTAAAAAGAATCTGAGAACAATTTGTATCAACACAGAGACTGGAAAAAAAAATAAAGACATTTTAGAGTCATCCAATGAAAGTTCTAAAAATTATTCCAATTCGGTAACAGCACCATTAAAGAACTTCTATATGATATTTGAAACATGTAAGACATTTTTATATTTTCAATCACCTGTTTAGAGATGAGTTTGCCGTCTTTGTATTGTACGGTTCCATTTTCTGCGAAGACGTAGTCAAACTTGTGTATGACTGCAGTGAGAAAGAACAAAACAACAGAATGAGATGCAATCAAAGTGCTCTAAACCCATCTGCTCTGGTGAACATCTTATCATCATCCTGGTGACCTTTACCTGTATTACACAACACACACATACTGATGTAAACAAGCTCATTTACACTTTGAGAGCTTCACTGCTCTTTCTGATTCATTCAATATCATATATGTTTTTTTGTTGACTGGATAACTTTATAATTCATGGCAACAAATAGCTGTCGTTGTTGCAATAACACATCAGATCCGGATTCTGCTCTAGTTCGAGTGAGAATGCAGTTGCATTCGGTTCTAAAGTGTACTGTTCTCAGTCTGATTCAATCATGATTTCTTGGTTTATCTAATCAGATCTGCACAATTCAAATGCCACATGCTACACTGATAATCATCAAACACTGATGACACTAGAAACTGATCTAGATAAACAATAAGAGAAAAGTCAAACATGGAGTTGAGGCTGAAATTAACAACCACAGTTAAGACAGAATCTCAAATTTTTCATCTATACAGCAATGAAATTAACATTTGCATTTTACATTTATGCATTTTGCAGATGCTTTTTCCTCAAAGCAACTTCAATTCCATTTAAGCCATGCATTTGATCAGTTTCCATTGCCATACCGTTTGGGCAACAACTGCTTCTCAGATGTTTCTCATAAGAAAAAGACCATAGTAATCTCACATGTGTCTCCTCTGTTGTTTTAGAAAAAATCTGAAGAATGTCTCAAACTGTGCACAGACATTTGCAATCGAAAAGTCTCAACATTAAATCAAACCTTTCTCATCAAACTTTCCTTTCTCATCATTCATATTAATCTGAGACAAAAGGTGCAGTTTACAGAAGCATAACTGAGAACTAAGCCTTCCGAGCTTTAATAAAGAAGCAACCTGTAAGCAATATTTTGGTCAGCCATAGTAGTGACGTCTACTGGTGTTGATTTCATAACCATTCATTCCAATGGTCACAAATGCATTTCATTAATTGGGTTCTAGACTGAGGGAATTATGGGATATCAGCTGTTGTGTTAATGTGATCCAGTCAAACCAGTTCCTCCACATTCCACATCTGATGCAACACCCAAAACCCATTAAACACATGTTTGACTAATGATTCTAAAGACTCGAGACCGTCTGCTGGCTTCCATGATGAAATGTATGATAGGCCTACATAACATTATCTAACCTTCACCTCCTTCTCCGAGCTGTTCTGCGATTTTGGAATAATCTGAACCGCCCACCACGCCGATCTTCACCTTCTTTCTCAAGGCCTGGAAAAAATCGTCCAGCTCAGGGTCAATCTTCTGCAGACACACAAACAGTATTACATCACGGAAGGGTTTCTGATGTGACCTGTGGCTTCAGTGCCCCTGAAACTGATTTATGAGTTCATTGAACAGTGACATCCATCTGTTCAACAGGTTTCAGAGTATTTTGTGTCCACTTAACAAGTAGACAAATAGTCTAAATTGGTCACAGAGCAACATTGGCTAGTCTCATAAAGCATCATGTTTGCAGCTCTGTATGTTATACTACGGTGACAGAGAAGTGCAGAGCAAATCACAATTCTGAAAACAAAATAACAAATTACAAACACAAATGCAAGTCTAAAAAACAAAATAACAATTCAGAAAGTACAACAACAATTCGATCAAACCCGGGTCGATCGCGTCAAAAAGCCAACACCACGTGCTTATCCATCTGCGCCACTGGAGCTAATGGTTTACAGCCACTTTTAACTAAATGTAAATAGACACCCCGTATTTTTTATTCCATAGTAAGGGCAATTCATACAATACATTTAAACTGAGCTACTTTAATACCATCTCCGAACTTTCTACCACGACTCTGCTGTTCTTCGGCTGGTTCTTCCCTGTATACGTTGATTGACAGATGTCTCGTCCAGTCAGCGGTGAGTAATCCCAAACCAATGGCGCTGTCTCAAACTATACCTACCTTTTCCGGTTTGTCTGATTTGTCGTTGTGTTTTCTGACTTGTTATTTTTTTTCGAATTTGTCATTGTGTTTTCTGACTTGTTATAATGTTTTCTGGATTGTTGTTGTGCTTTCTGAATTGTTATTTTGTTTTTTAGACTTGCATTTGCGTTTTTAATTTGTTATTTTGTTTTCAGAATTGTGATTTGCTCTGCACTTCTCGGCCACCGTACTATACTTTATGTTTATGTTTTCAGCAGACGTTTAAAGTGCACGTTAGTCACGTTAATGGCAGTGAGCTGGTTATGGCAGTGTTCTTTACTGACGGGTTGCGTAAGGGAACGCTGTGTGTTCTTCTGTCAGAGCTGCAGACTGTCAGGCTATCACACTACATGAAGTCATTCGAATCATCTGTGATTCATAACAGTATGCTATGGAGGTAAATAGGAATAGACGTTTTAATGAACGTAAAAAAACTCCAGGCGTTTAAGAGTATCCTGAAGGTATGGCAGATGAGCAATAATCCCAGCAAGATTAATCAGCGAAGCATTAAAACAGAACACTACCCTGACAGTAAAGCCCCGTTCACAACAAGAACGATAATGATGAATTACAGTTAACGTCCACACCAACTGATGTTCTATTTATTCTAAACGCACGCTGCAGTTGTGTGGAAATAATTAAGCACTTTAAAGAAGACAATTTTTGATTGGCTGTGTCAATGTATCAACGCTGTAATAGTGATACAATGGCACCGTTCAGCGTTTCCGCTATTCTCTTGAAGTAAGAACGGTTTTAAAACTTTATCGCTATCGCATCTTGGTGTGAATTGGCTTTTAACGTTGTAAAACGGCATTTTTGTGTGTGTCTGTCTTAACACGTTCTGTTTAAGCTGTAAAGGTTTTTACATTCATTTTTTCATCGCTAGAACCTTCACATAAGTTCCAGGAACTGCTTTCTGGAGGAGGAAAAGACACGGACAGCTGAGGACAGGATTGATGATGCAACACCTGAGGCCACTGATACCAACTCATCTGAACGTAAATAAACACTGCATGTCCAGAACGGCATGTTAAGTGACATGCAGATTTCTGTGAACTGTTCATGCAACAGAACGAACCGCCGGGGCACAACGTTCCTCCAACAAACTGTTCAAGAAACGCATAATGTTCACCCTATACTAAGCGCCTTTGGTAATGTTTAGCAACTAACTAACGTTTTAGTAGCCTATGTTTTTTAATTCCCCCCCCAAACCATTACCTAACATTCCAAGAGCGTTGTATGGGAACCACTGGCTGATGTATACGTGCAGAACGAGGGTGCCCTACTGTACAAACACACAAAAACACACTCGTTCACTAATAACACACGAGACATGCTTCACCTACACACACAGATCAGCGCTGCAAACAGAAACATTGTTACATAAGGATTAAGATGTCAATCTCAGAGAGGACGCATCTTTTATAACCCTTTAATTGTTATGCATTAGCTTAATATCTATTACATGTAATGTTATCTCATAGCTATCTTGTGGATAAAAAAAAAAGGCTCGCATATTTACCTCTCTCGGGGGTGTCAGCGTTCCGTCCACATCAAACAAGCACAAAACATTTCGACCTCCGGCTACACGAGACTTTATATCCATTTTTTCTTGTCCAGCAATTGAAGTAGACATAAAATAAAATTACAAATCAAATAAGACAATTAAATATATACAAATCAGACTCTAAATGACTCAAGATGAGTCAATGCATAAGAATATAAACAGTCTCTCGGCTTTCTTGAAACCGAAAGATAAAGAAGTCAATACTGATGAGTATTATTTACTAAGATTACAGTGTATACTGCAGGCTACATGATCACTGCTGAGTGTGAATGAATCCGCACATGTGGTTCTTTCTGCAGCATTATCCGCCCTGCATGGGGAGGGTTCGGCCTCAGCCAATCAAATGCGCAAATAGATCTGGGGGCGTTACTGCGCTGTGAGATGAGTGCATGGAATTCGGAAGCGTCACGTAACAAGCACGGTCAAACTCGGAGATACCTCTCACCTACTAAATTACACCTGAGCATAACAATAACAACAACAACTGCGGCAGCATTCCGGAAAATAACTAAATAAGAACATACATAAAAAGGTATTTTCAATTAACTGTAATGAGGGAATGTACGGCGTTAAACCTGAGCACAAATTATATTATAAATTAAATTATATAATTCTACACAAGAATATATTGAAATGACCTGTATAAAAATACAATGTAAAAAAAATAAACAGTGTAAAATAAATGTAAAAAAAATAGTTCTCTTCCCCTCTTCTTTTGAACTTTACAACTGATTGGTGGCCACAGAAAATCTGCTCAAATTAGGTTGACCTCTTTGTGCTGCCTCTGTTGTTCTATGCACAAGAACATGGTCTATCACAGTAGCTCTGATTTCATCTGAAATGGCTGTTCTTGGTCTTGCTCTTCCTCCACCTCATATTGATAGATGCATCTGTGCACTTTGTAGGCCTACTGGCTTGTATTTTGTATATTCACATATTTAGAAACAAGTGTGAACATTTTTGAATTATTGTGTGTAAACGATGACAGCTGTGTTGCAGTTGTGCTTAACTTTTGGTTTCTTGTGTTTAGGGTTTTGCATCACAGTGCAAATTGTGTCTTAGTGCGTGGGTTTAGAGTTTTGCAAAAAGAGTGCATGAGATCTGTAAACTGCCTGAACTTGTTTAAGGTTTTGCAAAAAAAAAAAAAAAGATTTATTTGACAAATTGGTTTAGGCTGTTGAGAATTTGGTTCAGAGAATGGGGTTTAGTGTCTTCGCTGTAAATAAAAAGTTAAAGTAAAAGTACAGGACTTAAAAGTAAGAATCCGAAAAGTAGCCTAAAACAAATATTTTGGTTTTGGTTTCGTTTCACTGTACGCACACGCATATAAGCATTAGAGGTTCACTACAATAGTGAAACTACTGAGTGAGACCATCAGATCTCGGGCTGCTGTCGGTATCTGTGAGGTGTTTTGTGCTGTACAGCGTCACCTGCTGCCGACATTCAAAACTAAATTTTAATGAACATTATAATATGTGTAATATTTTTTTCTCTTTAGCTCTAAATTGGATTAATATATTGAAGGAAAAGTACGGTGATGTTTATAAAAGAGGAAGGATTGTATTTGAGTGTTTTTGCATTCGCTCGCAAAACTTTTGTGATGGGAATTTGAAATATGGGAGGAAAAATACTTCAGTTCTTTTGCGAGCAAAACGAAACGTTTCTAGGCGGAACGCAAGGTTTAGCGAGTGAAGGCCATGAAATAGCCTATTTCCCCTCATTCTCATATTTTAAATAGGCCTACCTAAATGAAAATTTAGTCTATCGTCTCAGTCTCACAGAACTGCCTCAGTGTCGGCTAAAGGCCGATTAAACATCAGCACCTGACGGAACAAACGGGTCCCTGAAGCTGAATTAGTTACGAAATCACTGGAAATCACTAACGGCCGTTAGGCTCGACTAAACCTCATCGTGCTGTTAATATTAGCTGGATTTGAGTGATCACCGTTAGTCAGACAAACACAGAAGAGGAAGAGAAGTTTAACGTGAGCCCTGCGTTTAAAAAGGAACCCATTTGCTTCCGTCTCTGACTGAATATGATTGTTCCGTGTTTGAAAACAATCAGGCCAGATGCATTCTAGACAGATGCAATTGTTTTAGACTTCACTGTCATTGGTGAATTACGGTTAGTCAGCGTCCAAATCAACTCGTCGATCACTGCTGTATTTTCTTACTATTTTGGGTCTGTCCTGATTTAACAGTTCTCTTATTTATAGGCTAACCCATAAGACACTGAGAAGTTTTCAGTGATAATAAAAGCATTTTTATAGCCTATTTCTTTGGCACAAAGCTGTTTGATTTAAGTGGAATGTATCGTGCAAGATGAAAACTACCCGCTAAATAGGCCTAACAACGAAATAATTCGTTATACTTTATTTACTTCTTCAGTTGGGTGATTTTTCAGCTAGGGGAACTTTTCGGTCCTCTTGTTTTGAAAATAATCAAAATTCAAATAGGCTAAGTTTCTTGTATTTTGTTTCTCTAAAATGTGAGAAATGTCATTAGAATCACATAGAGCATCATGAATATAATTCAAGGCTGTCAAGGCCATCATCAGATTTTTATTCCATTTGTGATCAATGTTTAACAGATCATTTGAAGAATATGCTTTTAACTTATTAATAACTTACTGTGATCTGGGACCTGATTTCTCACGGTCATCACACCCAGATTTCTCATCCGTCTGTAAACACTGATTCTGAGAACAGATTTTACATGAGCAGATTTACAGACCGCAATCTATCAGCTTTTATAGCACACAATCTATTTGCCACACATTCTGCTTTACAGCCCTGAAGGACCTTTGGCCCCTCCAAGGTCCTCCAGAACATTTACGAACCGCTCAGACCTTCTAGCACATTCTGTGAGCAGCAGAAACAGAGATTTATTGGACAAAAACCACCTGTGGATTGTTTGAAACCAGGTGGTTTGATGTTTATGGGACATTTTCAGAGATATTTGGATTTTATTGATTGTAATTTCAGCTGATGGATCTAAATAAAGCTCACTGATACGGTCAGCAGACGTCACCTCAGATCAAATAGAAAGCTGAAACTAGAGGGATGAAGCTTTTTCACTCAGATCAGGCTGATTTTGTTTGTTCACTGTCGGTTGTTCATTAACACGCAGAGACACACCTGAGCGCGCATTTCCTCTTCAGGTTCCTGTAAAAACACAAATGCAGAAAACTCTCGCTGCAGTCAGTATGATGTCTTTTCAGAGACGTCATGTGGACGGTGTTGTTGGAGGATAGATCTGATCTTTCTGATGTAATTAATCAGAATTTACCGGCTTCAGGAATGACTGTGGCATTAAACTGAGCAGCGTCTTTTTGAAGGACATTGGTTGTGGACGGGATGTTGGGATTGTTCTGGTTCTGGTTCGGTTCTGTGCTCTCTGTCTCTGGGTTTGATGTGTTAAGCTGCAGAAACTCCTCGGTCACGTTAAACGTGGTTCTGCTAGAGGACGAAAATTCGCCCTGGAGTCTGAAGTTTGTGAAGGACGCAGTGGAAATGGCTGTTGAAGAGGAGAATGAAAAAAACCAGGCCGAAAGTGAGTAGATTCAAAGAACGTTTAGTTCTGAAAAATAAAAATTAGGTACATGCAGGCTTTTAATTCAGTACTAGTAAAGGTGACCCACCTCTCAAACACTGAAGATCAGGTGAGACCATCCAGATTTCAGTGAATGACTTGTGTGGATCTCAAGAGTCCATGCAACTGGAAACTGGAATTAAAAGACAAAAACTTATTTCTGCAGGGACATTCTGTCCTTCAAAATACACTCAAACATATCATAGATTAGTCTTAAATTAGATTAATTTCTCCAGGCAAAGAGAAAGACAACAAAAGTAACACTATTACAAATAATAGGCTGTAATGACGTATTAAACCATTTATTTGTTAAATAGAATAGAACACAATACAGTTCAATACAATACAATAGAAGACAGTGAGGGTTGTGACTTAAGTCCTCTAGGCAAAGAATAATAAGACAGTGGTCTTAAAAAACAGTCAAGTGATTCACTTTATCCAAGTTTTAGGATCTGTTAAGGGGTAAGTTGAGCTAATTTGTGTAAAAGTAAACAAACATATTCAATGCAATAGTCAACATCATGTTTATAGCTATAATGACCTCTAAGATGCTTCACCTTTTGAAATGTAAATTTAAACCTGACTGTATACTTCAGAAATGGTAAAACTACTTTAAATTGGACAAAATCAGCCTTGATACATGACCTACTATCATGGAACTGATGCTGTCGATTAAATCGCTAATGTTAATAACAATTATGATCATTTAAATATTGCGCATTAGTCAAGACTAGCGTGACCTCTTCTCACAACCTCAGAAGTAGTTGAGTCAGTGTCCAGTAAATAGCTAAATACAATCGGTTTAAATTCCCTGATAACAAAGGCATGAAGTCATTCAGAATTAGAAGAAAACAAACACCATATGAGGTTGAGCTGCTTTTAAATAAAGCTGACTAATCAAACATGGTGGTGGTTTTGTTTATGAAGGTCTGGACTTCCAGATCAAGGTGCTGTTCAGCGGCTTTAACACGACGCATTACCGGCGCAGGGGCTGCGGCAGCAGTACGTGCGAGGCCGTGGAGATCCTCAAATCGCTGCATGTGAGTTCTGCTTCATAAAAATCTGCCTAAAGGACATTTTGAAGGACGTTCCGGTTTATTAATGCTGTCTGTCCTCAGGCACGCTGAAACATTATGGTGAAGATTTAAAGTGTCCCAGATAGCACACGTAGGCTACGTCTGCAAGATGTCTGATAACGATCTCTTGATCTGGAAAGCATCTGCTGTGTAAAAACATCTGACAGACGTCTGTAAGATGTCAGGTTTACATACATTCTAAATCAAACATCTTTAAGACCTCTAATAGACGTCTATTTGACATCTAAAAGGAAACATCCTATTGCAGATGAGCAAACACTCTAAAAAAATACGTCTTCCAGATGTAAATGCAGACATCAAATAGACGTCTCCATGATGTACGTGTGCTATCAGGGGTGGGTAAAGCCCGCAGCTGATTAGCGGTTAAATGTAATGCTATTTTCCGTTTGTTTTGTCCGTTAGAACATCAGTGAGCTTGGATGCATGATGCTGGGTCCGTCCTGCACATATGCGACGTTTCAACTGGTGGAGTAAGTTAAACTCAAACGACCAAAGACTTTTTCTTAAAATGTTATCCCCCATATTACATACAGCATGTGATTACAATTTTGGTAAGTAGTTATTTTTAATTACTAAAGGCCCGTTTCAACCAAACACAATATTTAAAAAAAATTAAGTCTATTAATTATTGTAACTCTGTAATATCGGAGTACACACCAAAACTACAACGATAACAACAGAGCGATTTTTTTCCAGCTTGAATGGTATAAACGGTCAGTCAGTATCCACCCGACGTTAAAGGAATAGTTCACCTAAAAATGAAAATGCTGTCATTAATAATTGCTCATTCTCGTTCCAAGCCCGTAAGACCTTCGTTCAACTTCAGAACACAAATTAAAACGTGAGCTTGATTCTCGCAGTGCGCGCTTAAGTAGAATGTATTTTGAATATTATCTTCCGTTGTTGACGATGCTAACATAGTTATCGTTATTGTTGTAGTTCTCGGTGTGAAGTCCCTTAACCCTAAACCAAATCATAAAGGCCTGCATTATTTCACCCCCGTCAAAATACATTGCATAGGCTAACAAATAAATTAGTACATTCATTTGAGCTAGTTTAAGTTAACAAGTATCATCAGCAGCACATTTGTGCTAAGAACAGCGTTGGATAAGTTATTCTAAAAAAATACTAGCAACTTATTAGCTACATCTTCAACAGTGTAATTTGAAAAACTGTAAATTACATAAAAAATAAGAACAATCCCTTGCTTTACTTTTTCAAGGGAAAGGTAATTAAATTACAGTAATTAATTACTCAGTAATGCATTATACCCAACACTGGCCAAGTTTTAACAACTTAAAAGTAAACAACTTTTTCACAAAAAAGAAAACATTTTTGAACAAACTGAAGAGGTGATAATTTCAATAACAACAAAATTTATGTTAAAGGGGTGCTATTATGCTTTTTCACTTTTTCAACTTTAGTTAGTCTGTAATGTTGCTGTTTGAGCATAAAAAAGATCTGCAAAGTTATACAAAGCTCAAAGTCCACTTCAAAAGAAGATATTTTATTTAACAGAAATCACTTTTCAAAAACTACAACGAACGACTCGTTTGGACTACAACGCATATTTTCCAGGATTTGTGATATCACAAATATCGACGAATGGGACGAGACCTGGTTGAGCTGCACTAGAGAAGGCAACGA